AGCTTACTTCCACCAGATTACATAGGTAGCAAATGGCTATATTGCTCATTTATTGTAAATTTTACTTACTCAAAATTCACTCCAATTCATATTTACATAAGATAATTATTTTTACAAGTTATATTTGCTTTTGGGGATCTTCAGTGAAAATAAAATTAAATCAAAAAACTTTTTAATGTTTTCATTTTTAATTTTTGTGGGTACATATTAAGTGTATAGATTTATGGGTTACATGAGATATTTTGATACAGGTATGCAATGTGTAATAATCACATCAGGGTAAATGGAATATCCATCACCTCAAACATTTATCCTTTGTGTTACAAACAACCCCATTATACTCTTTAATTTTAAAATGTATAAAATTATATTATTTTTGATGATTGCCACCCTATTGTGCTAGCAAATACTAGGTCTTATTCTTTCTATTTTTTGTACCCATAAAATTAAATATATTGAAGCTAATTTTACATTGTAGACAAATACATGAAAGTACTTTGTCTCATTAAATCTAGGGATATCACTAATAGTTCAGGCATTTCTAAGGGAAATTTGACGGTGTAAAAGCAGTCTAATCATATTCTCATTCATAATTTCCAAATATTCAAATTAGGTAGAAGCTGTGAACTTTAACTGTGGTCTGTATAAATTTTTGTGGAATAGAGATAGCTTGTATTAGGCATCATATAATTAAAGATAGAAGTGTTGATAACAGAAATGTTAGTCAGCTTAAGCACTTCTAAATTGACTGAGTAATTAGAACTCAGTTTATGGCCAAAATCTAGAGTTTGCAGAAACACCCCATCTTTTAAATATTCTTTAGTTTAAGATTGTTGTGACTTCTTAATCTGAAATAATTGCTTCTTATAGGTGGAAATAATTTTAGAGATTGTTTTAGGGTGTGAAGCCCTAATTTTATAGGTGAGAAAACTGAAGCCAAAAGAAGTTAGTGATTTTCCCACAGGACATTGTTATAAATGGTAAAGCTAATCTGATACTGGAATCCATATCCCTAGAATTCAATGGAGATAGTTTTGTGTTAGTGGGAGAGGTAGACTTTACAGCTAGAGGCCTTCCACTTAGTGAAATTTTATTTTTATGTTGTAAAATTTTTATTTTTTAAAAATAGAAAGGAGTCTCCCTATGTTGCCCAGGCTGGTCTTGAACTCCTGGGCTCAAATGATCCCACCGCAGCCTCCCAAAGTGCTAGGATTAGAGTCATGAACCACTGCACCTGGCCTTAGTGAAATCATTAATTTATTTCACTTTGATCAGAAGTTGGTGATTTGGCCGGGCGCGGTGGCTCAAGCCTGTAATCCCAGCACTTTGGGAGGCCGAGACGGGCGGATCATGAGGTCAGGAGATCGAGACCATCCTGGCTAACACGGTGAAACCCCGTCTCTACTAAAAAAAATACAAAAAACTAGCCGGGCGAGGTGGCGGGCGCCTGTAGTCCCAGCTACTCGGGAGGCTGAGGCAGGAGAATGGTGTAAACCCGGGAGGCGGAGCTTGCAGTGAGCTGAGATCCGGTCACTGTGCTCCAGCCTGGGCGACAGAGCGAGACTCCGTCTCAAAAAAAAAAAAAAAAAAAAAAAAAAGAAGTTGGTGATTTGTCATTCTAGTCACTTCCAAATACTGTTAATCTGTATATACCTGTTCCTAAATGAAAATTATTTTACAAGTGCTTGATCTTCTCTCATCATACGTACTAGGTGGAATGAGTGTTTTTTCAAGGAAATAATAAAGTACTTACAAACTTTAGGAAGACTGGGTCGTGGCAGTGTTTGCCTTGAGCATATTGTTAATATAATTAAAAATATCGGGACTTAACCTATATAGCAAACCAAAATAGAGGGTCTTTTAAATATTTTCTGTTATTTCCAGGATATAACGTAATTTTAAGACATGTGAAGAAGATGAAAAAAAAAAAAAAAAAAAGAAAACTCCCAAACCTAAAAACCTTGGGGCTTAGTTAATGTGCACAATCCTGGCTGGAATCTGCTGTGTGTACTCAGTCTCCCCACAGCTTGTAAAGTCAGTTAAATATAGTCACAGTTGGGTTCTGGGGACGAGCAAATAGGAAAAGAAGGGAAAGCTGGAGGCGTGTTGTAGAAATACACTTCAAAGTAATTTATTCTAACACTTTTTAAAGCCTTCTTTGTAAATGCACTTTTAAATAGTAGTTCTGTTTCCTTGAATCCACGCAAGAGCATAAAATAGACTGGATTCAGAACTGGCGTGGGAATATTGTCAGCTCCATTACTGCCTGTGTTGGGACAGCTGCTCTGCTCCACGCTGCCTAGTTTCTTTTAATGAACCTAGGTTCAGGTGGCTGAAAAAGCCGTTCTGTGGTAGACGCCTCCCATAATCCTTATGTGAATGTTTATTTTGTGTGCCTGTTCATCGGAGTTTTGTGGCAGTTAAATTGTCCACCTAGGATTTCCAAACAGAAGGAAACACACGTATAAGTGATACAGTATTTGCTGGCAGTGTGGCTGAAAAAATAAAAAGTCAATACACCTTGTTCTCCTTACATTCATTTTAATGAAATCAACTAAACTGATTCTTCAAATCAAACCACTGGCTCTTCAATGATCTTTCCAATTAATAAGAATATAGTTGCCTACCTTTTTTTCTGTGAGTTAAGCATTCCAAGATAAAGCCCTTAATCATCTTAAATTGTCTGGGATAACTTTGAGCAACCTAAAGAAATGTTATGTGTGTCTGTTTTTATTCTTTTTTGTATTTTATGTCATCAAGGTTTTGCTTTCCTCATTGGTGAAGCAGTTAGATTAGGTGATCCCTCAGGCACTCTCCATGTCTGAACTGATGACTCATAACCATGCTGAGGAAGCCTGGTGTATCAGCAGTACCTGCATGTTGCATCTCTAGGGTGGGGTGCTTGTGTTACAGGGCAGTCCAGATGAGCAATTTCTCACCTTTTTTACTGTATTGCTGCGGGTCCGTGAGTGGTGCTCCCATAGACTTACTCAGATTTGGGGTTTTTATGAAACACAGCTTCCTAAACTTCACCTCTTTGACAAAGCTGATACAACACACAGGATGTAATAATAGGTGTTTGAGAACCTTCCATCAAGATTAACTTCAGGCCTGACGTGGTGGTTCATGCCTGTAATCCCAGCACTTTGGGAGGCCAAGACAGGAGGATCACCTGAGGTCAGGAGTTGGAGACCAGCCTGGCCAACATGGTGAAATCCCTTCTCTACTGAAAATACAAAATTAGCCAGGCGTGGTGGTGCATGCCTGTAATCCCAGCTACTCAGGAGACTGAGGCAGGAGAATTGCTTGAACCCAGGACATGGCGGTTTCAGTGAGCAGAGAGCAGAGGTCGCACCATTGCACTCCAGCCTGGGCGACAAGAGGTAAACGCCATCTCAGAAAAACAAACAAAAAAAACAACAAACGAACTTCATAGATGTGAACACAACCTCAAGAGACCAGAGAATGCTTTCAAGTCTTATATTTATACTTTGCTGCGCAACTTAAGACTTGGAGGTGCATGTTGAATCACTGAATAGATCTATTAACTGGAGGTGTTCACACTGCAAATCAGAATTTACCACACTCGGCTTAGTCACACCAGCATTTAATTTATTTTGGATCAGCACTTCTAGCAAGCAACTTAAGGTTTTACTACTCTAAAAATGCTTTTGAAAAGTTATTTACCCTGTTGCTCACTCAACATCTGACAAAAATGTGAAAGTGTTTCCAGGAATAGTAAAAATGTGTTTCAAAACACAGGACTGAAACAGGGAGTTTAATTCTATGGTATGGGTGCCCTGCTTTGAGAATGTCTAATATACAACAACCTTTTTAGAGGCTTTTACCCAAGATTCTACTCCTAACATATTTCAAATGTGAGTCAATATATAAATATTTTGTTAAGACAACTTGTCAGCAACACATCTATGTCATTATGCATAAAATGTAACTACTTTTAGTTTCTAAGTTGTGGAATTATCTAGTATGCTCAGGGGAATTGCTCTAAATTTAAAGCATGTACTAGGCTTGGATACATCTTTAGATTTTTTTGAGGCTCTTAAAGAAAGAGATCTGTGTTTTGTAGCATGATCTGCTTTGTAAGCATCTCATTAAGAAATGAATCCTTGTGAGAAGTACAAGCTTGTTGCGCTTCTCACTTGATGGATGGTGGTGGCATGTATGTGGAGAGGGGAGGGATAAATTGATAAATGTAGGGGACTCTACAGTGATGATCTGGGAATGATGCAGAGGTTTCCAATGTCTTAACGCCAGACTAGAGATAATTAATGCTAAGGTTTCAAAATTATAGGAGTCTGATGTCTAGGTCTTTCCTTCTCCATTTGGAATTTTATCATAATATCCTTTTGGACCAAGTCACTGGAAACTTTAGGTTCAGAGTCTTATGCATCTCTTCTGGGCTAGAAACCAATGTCACGTACTGCTGAAATTAGGGACGCTAAACGTGTATGTGAGTGGGGGCAAGCTAGTATTGGTTTTCTCTCTTGGCAGAGTCTGCTGTGTCAGAGGTTTAAATGGTTACCATTTTGATTATCTTCATGATTTGTTTCAGACCATCGCTCTTGCATTTTGGCCAACTGGTAACTTTTTTAAGGTTTCATGGAAACCAAACAGCTTTCTGAATAGTCCTGTTTTTCTCTTCATCCCAGTATACTGTCTTTGACTCTACAATAGTGTAAGAAAATAGACATCTTTAGTTTAAGAATCAACTGGGTAAGTGTAAGTCAAATGGGACTCCTATTTTCCTTTGCCTTTGGTCCTGCAGTGCCAGTTAATGGTGTACCAGATCTATCAGCAACATCCTCTTTCCAGTCTTCATACCCTTGGGATACACCATTCTTTCTACCAAGAATAATATCGCTTTCCTCTTCTCTGCTAAGTTCCTTTCCATCTCCAAAAGGCTGGCTGAAAATTTATCTTTAGGAAGACTTTGTTGTTAGATTGTATTTGACAGTTTACTCTTCCTCTGTTCCATTTAGGGTGAAAACATTGCTTTTTGTGTGACTCACATTGTAGTAGAAGGCACTCTGAGGAAAGAAGATCAACACTTTCATACCCCTTCAGGAACTGATTGTCCTGCTGAAGAACCAAGACAAAAATCGAACATCCCTACTGTAAGACATTCTGAGAGGGGCTGTTGTTGAAAATCGTGTTTGAGTGTGCAAGAGCATAGAGTGCCAAAGAAGTTAATTATAGCAGAATACTTGAATGAGCCATGGAATTTGGCCCTTTCTGATAGTATCGTAGGATCACAAGAGCTACATTAGAGATCAGGTCATTAGACAAGGGTCGTTAGAGATCATGTAATATGATACAATTCCTATCTGTGAGTATTTTGTTAATGCCTGAGACTCAAAATGCCCAAAATGAAGTATCATATTTTCCCACCAAACCAGCCCACCCATTTTTACCATTCTTCAGTTAACTCGACTCTATTCCTTCCTCCTGCCCTGTAACTGTTGACTTTGCCCATCCTTTATGTGTTTATATCACTACCCTTATTTAGGAACTTAATCACCTTCATATGTCTTCAAGGTATATCCTACATCTTATGGTATGAGCAACTTCAACATTGGAAAATAAATGACTGTTGATCTTGTAAAGTGGTTTTACCAATTTACAGTCCTACCAACAGTGCCCAAGAACATGTCTTCCTAACATATCTTCATTAATAATTGATTTTGGTAGTTTATCACACTTTGGCTAATCTACTAGGTGTGAAATGTTATTTCATTGTGGTTTTAACTTGCATTTCCATGTTTGCTAATGAAAACTCAGGATCTTTCATGTGACTACTGGTGACTTATGTTTTGTCTTCTCTGACGTACCTACCCATGCATTTGCCAGCATAGTTGTCTCTCAGTATGCATGACTGATTGGTTCCAGGAACCCTCATGGGTGCTTAGTCCTGTATTTAAAATGGCGTGGTATTTGCCTGTAACTTATGCACATCCTCCTGTATACTTTATTTTCGAGATAGACGTTGCTCTGTAGCCAGGCTGGTCTTGAACTCTGTGCTCAAGGCATCCTCTTGTCTCAGCCTTCTAAGCAGCTGGGACTGCAGTCCTCTGTATACTTCAAATCATCTCTAGATTACTTATAACATCTAATACAGTGTAAACATGGTATAAGTAGTTGTTATACTGTATTTTTAAAGGTGGCATTGCTGTTTTTTTATTGTTTCTTTTCTGAATATTTTCCATCTGACATTGGTTTAATCCGTGGATGCAGCGGGCCATCTGTGTTTCCACTGGGTTGTCTCTTTAGTTTTTTTTTTTTTGAGACACAGTCTCACTCTGTCGCCCAGGCTGGAGTATAGTGGCACCATGCCGGCTCACTGTAACCTCCATCTCCTGGGCTCAAGAAATTCTCCTGCCTCAGCCTCCCGAGTAGCTGGGATTACAGGCATCCACCACCACGCACAGCTAATTGTTATATTTTTTTAGTAGAGATGGGGTTTCACCCTGTTGGCCAGGCTGGTCTCGAATTCCTGACCTCAGGTGATCCACCTGCCTCAGCCTCCCAAAGTGCTGGGATTACAGGCGTGAGCGACCGCACCTAGCCTAAAATTTGATATTTAAGACTTCTTAAATACCTTTGGTATTTTGGGTACTAAATGTTTCTGTTATATGTGAGCTTACATTATACTTAGTACTTAATAAACCCTTGAGATCTATTCATACTACCTGTCATTATACACCTAATTGAAACTTAGGGATTCTTGCCCAGGCCCGCATCTCTGTCCTCATCTTTAGTGCTGTCCCAGGACCCTGGCTCCAGCGGCATCGGCACAGCAGCTAACTGGACTGGCCAGGTTGGTTTTTCATGGGTCAGTCCCTTTGCCTGGAAAGTCTTTCTTTCCTCCTTATCCTCTTGAAAGCTTCTGTGTTTCCTTCATTATTGATGTGCTTTAAGTTCTGCCTTTGTGGATCTTTTTCTCACCTTCCAGAGGCCTTCATTGTGCCTCCTACTTGGCCTTACTTTGTGCAGTCACTATGCTGGGGATGCAGCAGGCACAGTTGCTGAAGGCTTGAAGTCAGGTAGTCTGGTGTATTATTTTTGGTTTTTATTTTCTATATATTATGATATTTTGACATCTTAGAAACCATTGTGGTTGGGAAGAGGCTACCCTTGCCGGTCTGGCCAATTCTGAGAGGGAGCCAGGGCCTAGCCAGGAGCATGCCTTTGAGATACAAACCAACCAGTCCATACCCAGACCTCCTCTGTCTGGCCCTTACACTTCAGGAAGCAGTATTCCCTTGCTCACATCATTCAAGGCTAGGTGCCAGGCAACTAGAGACCACCTCTGTAGCCAAAGCCTGCTGAAATTATTCAACGTAACCACTCCTAACCTGTTCACCCTGCCCCACCTTGTTTTTCCTGGAAGTCTATTAAGGACTGTGGCCTGGTTCTCTCCTCCTCCTGCCCACTCTGCCTCTCACCACCCTGAGGCTTTCCAGTGTGGCCTGCGTGGCGGGTCTCCTGTCTCTAGGATCACTGAGGACAATCAACTGGTTCCTGAGCCTCTACTGTGTTGCCTCTTGTGGCCACACCTGACTGGGATCACCTAAAACGGGGATCATCTAAAATAGCATAGAACATATGGTTTGTAATCTTCACTTTGCCTCTTTCTAGCTGGTGACCTGACCTGACCTCCTCAAGACTCTATTTCCTCATCCTTAAAATTGGGATAATTATGGGACCCTCCCTGAAGGGTTGTTCAGAAGGCTAATGCACATAGAATACTTCTACCAGTGCTGCCTATGGTAAATATTGCCTGTTATTTTTATTATTACTATTTTTACATATTTAATGGGCACAACTGTCTTATTTACTGCATTGCTGTTTGTTGAAGGCAAGGCATCTCTCTAACCTTGGACCACCTCCTAAAACAGCAACAGATTTCTGATGAATGAATGAATGAATATGGGAAGGAAGAATTGGAGCCAAGATATGGAATGTTCACATGAAGATGTTTGTTTTTATTTGGTTATGCTTTTGACAATAGAGGTGATAGTTAAATGAAGAACCTTGATTCCTTTACTAAAAAGGCTATGTTTAACCAGAGGGGCCTGTGATTTCTACACTGTTGTGAGGAGCCCTGGGTTACCTGGAATGCCTCAAGATTTGCTAAGAGGTGGGGTGGGAGTGTGACACAAAGAGGAGTGGGAGGCCACTGCTTGGGAGGAGCCTTGCCTCTCCCACAGCCATTCACAGCTTCCCCACCCTGAAACCAGACAGTTCTGTGGTAATCCCTTGCATAGATTTGATTTCTGCTTTAAAAAAAATTACTTTAGAATAAGCAGTGGAAATCAAGTTGATTTTTAAGTAAAGAGTAGCGCAGCCAGTTTATCCTGGTGTGTGGGTGCTGCCACCTGAATGCTGGGGCAGGAAGACCATGGACACTGCCCAGATGATGGGAGTGGGAGTGGATGGCAGTGGTTAAATCTGAGAAGTTCTGTAGGGGAAGGGAGAGCCCGTGTGGCTCTGCAGAGAAAGGGTCACTACTGCCCCTCAATGGACAATGTAGGAGACCAGAGCCCGGGGATATCTCCTGTTTGAAGACAGAGAGGCCAAGCTGATGATACAGATTCGATATAAAAGCTTTAGACATCATCAGGGCATTGGCATGTCTGCTGGAGCCATAGGACGTGTGAGATTAGTAACCCAAGGACATTGAATTTTAATTTATGGAGCAAATATGTATTCCAGCCAACCAGCCACATCATGTTGAGCAATGCAGTCGTGGTCCTGCCCTCGTAGACCCTACAGACCAGTAGGAAATAGTGGGGTCTGATGCAGGCTGGAGGGATCAGGACGTATTTTCTGAGAAAGTGATGGTTGAACCGGCATTTAGAATTATGAGTTCCACTGAATGAGAGTGTGAGGGACAGGGGCAGCTGGGGGAGTTGAGGAAGGACCAGCAGCTTATGCCAAGCTCAGGAGCGATGGATGATGGAGCCCAAAGAAAGCCAGTGTGATAGGCAGGTGAGTTGGGGGCTTCCTGACAGTTAACTAGAGGTGCAAAGAGTGGAAACTCTTTCCTCCAAACTTGTCCAGCCACCTTGCCTGAGCTTTCAGTTGCCACTCTCCTGATTCTTTTGGGTCTTGTGTTAGTCTGCTAGAGCTGCCATATCAAAGTACCACAGACTGGGTGGTTCAAGCAACTGAAACTTATTGTCTCACAGCTGTGGAGGCTGGAAGTCCATGATCAAGGTGTTGTCAGGGTTGGTTCCTTCTGAGGGCTGTGAGGGAGGGATCTGTTCCAGGCCTCTTACCTTGCCGCTTCTGAGGGCTGTGAGGGAGGGATCTGTTCCAGGCCTCTTACCTTGCCGCTTCTGAGGGCTGTGAGGGAAGGATCTGTTCCAGGCCTCTTACCTTGCCGCTGGTGGTTTTCTGGCAATGTTTGGTGTTCCTTGGCTTGTGGAAACACCATTCCACTTTATCATCCGGTGACATTCTTGCTGAGTGTTGCCTGTGTCCAAATTTTCTTTTCTTTTTTTTTAAATAAGGATCCACTCATATTGGATTAGGGGCCACCTACTTTAGTATGACCTAGTCTTAACTAATTACATCTGCACCAACCCTATCTCCAACTAAGGTCCTATTCCCAGGTCCTGGAGGTTAGGGCTTCAGCATATACATTTTCAGGGGGACACAGTTCAACCTCTAACAGATCCTGCTTTTGCCAGATATTGTTGTTGTTGTTATTATTTAAATAGCTCCTTCGAATATGAACAGGAACCTGCTCTTTTTTGTCTTATGGCCTAGGGACAAAAACGTAAAATTGAAACTGGCTTGTAGTAAACGTGCAGTAAAACTTAAATAATAAGGTCTTTGTTCAAGTGCCATAATTTACCTCCCCCGTATAAGAAAATACAAGTGCCTATTGTTGGGCATTAACCTACCAGACAGTTGCTGCCAAATGGATAAGCCTGCAACCAGTGGAACCCAAATTGATGCTATAGGAGCGGGGTTGGAGAGAAGGGGGAGTCTAGATGGTAGGAGGAGTGTTGTGGGGGAGAAGAAAGAGGAGAGAGAGAGAAAGCATGCACAACCAAAACCAAACCCAGACTTCCTGGTATGTCATGAGGTTGTAGCAGTGCTGAGCCAG